AGCTAGTTATTCAAGAGGGCCTTTAGGAAGAGATTTATAAGGGGCTCTTCCTTCCTTAACCATGTTTTAAATGTACAAACGATTTTGGCAACTTTCTAAAATAATATTGTGTTTAAGCTTTATTAAGCTAAGCGTTTTATTACTTTACTAGCTGACCTGGCAGACTTCGTAGTGCCTCAGTCGATAAATAAAATACCGAAACTTTTATACAAAATAAACTTAAAACAAACAAAAGGAATGCGTCTGACGAGGGACACATCAAAGGAATAACAAAATTGTTATTTTTATTTAATTCCGAGCATTTTCATATTTATCTACCTTTTAAACCATCTCTGGATTTCCACAAATAATTCAAGATCAAAATTAGCCATATCGGTCCAGCGGTTCTGGAGTTTTAGCGAGACTAACGAACAGCAATTCATTTTTATATATATAGATTACTTACGAAAATAGTTGCCCCCTGGTTATTATATGCGGGATTCATACAATACGCATAGATCATGGCTCTTCATCAGAATGTCACGAGTATAGAGTGATTTAAAACATTATAGACTAAGCTATGAGATTTTTTTATCAGTATTGTATCTTTTAACGAATAATACATAGTACATTTTTTTAAATATATACATATTTTGAAAATATAGTCCATATGCGGAATGGAAACAAACCTACAATAGTGCTACTAGATTACTCTTATTACTTAATATAATACTATGCTGTAACTACAGTGCGAAACTAAGTACAATATAATTCACGTCACGCCATCAAACACAGATTCACGAAAGGTCGCTTAGAATCTTGTCTTCTCGAAGGTCACACTGACAGTGAAAGGTCATTTGTTAATGATGTTTCGTTGAATTGACTTCACAAACCATGAAGCTGACGGAAGTATTATTATAGTGTAATGTCCGCTTCTTCTAAGAGCACAGAAATTATTGTTGACGATGCAAATTTAGCACACGGTGAAATAGAAGTAATCTCTTGCTATTTGTTCTTGGATATCAGCAATACCGTGGCTCTTCAAGGGCGGTTCTACGGTTGAGGATATTCGTTTAAGATTTATTTGTTTTTAAAAAGCATAGATGGAACATCGTTAGGGCGTTAATTTCGGGCTCCGTCGGTCGGGCGTCCTTGGGGTGAGCTGCGCCGTCTAGTTGTAGCGTTGACGGCGGTAAGCCCCTTACCTCATCCGGGTTCTGACCTCGGAAGGGTTCGGTCGCTTGGGCGAAGAGTGCAGGGGGATCGTTTAGTGGGTAGGGTCCTGAAGACATCCTTGGGCCCACGGTTTCGCAGTTGCGGACCAGTCCCACATACCCTGCGCGCCCCCTAGGGGCGGGGACCTCGTAGGAGGTTCCGAATGGAACGTGGCACGAAATATCTCTGAGAACTATGCAGATTTCAATGGTTCCGGGTATTAAGGAGTCCCTAGGTCCCGCGATCCAACATCTGCAGACCTGAGATAATATCTCTATGCACATATGAAATGGTCGTGATTATATTTTGTTGGATGTATTATGTAACTAAAGTATCACGTATCGGATTTTTTCCTACATTTAATACTCTCTGTGATCATCATAACGTTAAAAAATGTATCCGAACGTACTCGGTGATAATGATATGCAAGATATCACGAGGACAAGACCCTGATAATTGAGAGGATGATAAAAATATACCGATAAAGATTTGATTCATTTGGTGGTTAATATTACGTGTAAATAGCTTACGAAATTGCAACAGCGATTTCATCGCGAAATAAATAAGGAAATCAGAGGTATCGTTTTAAAGCGTAATTAAAAACCTACAAGGAACTTGTTCATTTGCTTCAATCTAGGTACTATTGATCTCTTAATTATTGTCGTGGCTGGTGACCATGATATCGCCAGTGTCTATTAATTTGCACGTCTTTAAAATACTAGTGGTAGGATGTGCTGTGAGCCCGCACGAATTAGTACCGCCATCCTGCTTATTTGTAGACGTTTCTTTCCCTACTTATTCTAGTAACCTCGAGGGGTTATTCTAGATTCACCGAATTAGTAGGTGAGCTCACGGGTCTCAAACCTAACCTAACACTAACCCTAGCAAGAGCAGTGCTTCGCAGAATCTATCACCGAATCGGAACCACGATCTACTGTGAAGATCCAGCGAGAAACTCAGTGGGATGTGTCTGGGGGTTAATTTACTCGCCGAGCCCTTCGTCGCAAGCGACAGGTTCGACGAGGACGATGTCCGGTGCTTGAGGTACCTAAAAGCACCGTTAGTAGATCGGGAGGATCCGAAATGACGTGGCTATTGTCGTGCGTTCATACAATTCAATTGAGACTTTAACGTCATTTCTTAAGGTAATTTTTCCTAAATGATGATCCACCTTGCTCGCAATGAAACAGATGTGATGAAAAGGTTACGAAATTCACGTTCTAATATCGATGGAGTCTCGTAACCTCTTTACACAAGATGGTCCGTGAATTCATTATGCAACAAATAAAGGTTTTGCTAGTCCAATGCTAATCGAAATACTACAAACAAGGAACAACAAGGAAACACGTAACTGGATTTGTTAAAATATCGCGATTGCTTGAAACGTCACGGAAAAGCTAAAGGCGAAATTGTTAAAGATTAAAAAAAAGAACAAACGAAGAGTATTTTAAGTGTTGTTGAACGTTTAGAAGTTTGTAGAGAAACACAACTTGCTTAATACCGTTGGGAGTCTCAACTATGGTATTTTTAAGGATTCTTCTAATCCGCAAAACTCTTTGCAGAAGTCGAGTTAATTTTTTATATCTATTCATTACTTACTAGACGATTCTTTATAATTTTATCTGTAAGGGTCTATCCAATATAAAATAATCTATAATTTACGAAATACTTTTATATATAATTATTATAACCACTTGATAATTTATTTTAATAATGTTCTTCGATTTGTTTATTCATAATAAAATATGGTCATTAGTAGGAAATCTAGTGTAGACATTGTAAGGCTGTGATAAATTACTTAGAGGAATAATTATCTCGGATCTCTATTGCGTTGTGGAGATATTTTTTAAATTTGAACTATAGATGAATGTATTAACGTTGAATGACTGTCTGCGTGTTTGTTTGTTTGTTTATGACCTAGGCTTTCTGTCTTATTGAAGTGAAACTTCATACTGTTGTCGTTGGCAGATCAGAAATTCATTTTATCATAACACCGCGCATAATTTTTACCGCGCACTAATAGATTTTTTTTGCTCTATATTTATATTGATCGCGGCGAAGCGCGGACGAGTTTCACTAAGTTATTAAGTACACATTCGTGCCCATTAAAACCAAACCATATTTTGAACACAATAGGGATGCTAATTTCTAATATAGCCAAAGACCATCTGACGTTGCGTCACAATTTAAAAAAATTTTTTTTTCCGCAGGATAAAGTCGCCGGATTCCCACCCGCACGGCAGGTGGGGTATGTGGGAGTCGAACCACACTAAAAACTCCTGTCGCTCAAAGACGGCGCCCTACCCCGGACCGGGCGGGAGCCCAGTCGGAGCTATTGAGACGGTGGGACAGGGTTTACGCAGAGCATATTACATCCATCCCGCCGTCCCATACAAACTTGTTTTTCTTATAACGCATCACGCTACACAAGAGTACTTTAGTATTAATTCGATATCCTTATCAGTTCGTTTTGGTACACGGTTTAACCTACATACGAATGTCGTTGAAATATATTTCGATTCAACGCTTATCGACACATCCTGACGCTTGTCAGATATAGCCGTGGGAAACGTTTGTGTCAACAACAGGGGATATATCCGTGTCATCGATGACATTACATATCAATGAAAGTAAAAGCAATTGTGGGTTCCTTTAAGATATGTTTCTCAATCGTTCCCGCATTACTTCGGATGGTGGCTTTTAGTGCATTTTATGCATATTAATACGTATATTATTTAAACATATTATTGGAACGAAGTTCCTTATCGCACGTTGTGAAAAGGGGCTAGACGGAAAAAAATCTTACGAAAAGTTGTCACGACACTTTTTGCTATTGTAAGCCATTGTAAGCTGTGCGGCGTCGCATGTTTCTCTGTCTGTCTGTCTCTCTCTCTGTCTCTCTCTCTCTCTTATAGAAAGCAAGCCAGATATTTTCATTTCTATTTCGCATTGAACAGTGTGGTGTCGCGACGATTATTTTTGTTGAGTGTATACAGGTTTTTTGTAAATAATAAATAATAAAAAATAATAAAAATATTATTATAACTTAAAAAAAAATTTTTTTTATTACAATTCCTTCACTAATTAATCGAAAGGAACTTCGTTCCATCCGGGTGATCGATCCCTTGACACCTCGCAAGTTTTATTTTATCATTTAAAATGCTTAGTTCTTTTAAGCCTGATGACGTCAAATATGATGCGAGTTATTTTTCCTTGTCGGACTAAAATAACATTGAACATTGAAACCAAGTGGATCTGTCTGCCTTAGAAACTCGAAATATGTTTAGTGGAATTAAAATATAGTAATCATTTTATTGGAGCTTAAACATAATAATGTCATAGACAGCTGCAATACCACGAATTGCATTTGATTAGCATACTTGAATTAAAATACTAGTATGGTCAACTAAGTAAAGCAATAGCACAAAAAAAAAAAAAAAAAAATTTTTCTAAATCACATCATGAAGTCATGCCAATAATCGTTAAAAATAACAATACGATCCGTATCTGTTCCACGATATTAACTCGTGACAATTTATATTAAGCGAAACTAATGACATAAATATAAAAAAAATATTATCAACACATAAAATATACAGAGACTAATGCGGATCGTTTCACTTTCAATACGGTCTTCGGTTACCGGATTCGAAGGTGAAACAGCTTCCTACTCAAAAATTGTGTTACTCAAATCATTCGGAAACGCGAACTTAACATTCACGAATAAAGTGAAGTTTCTAGTTTTTCAACAAGGAACGAATTAGATCGAATACTAGAACGTCCTTCTACAGTTGAAAAATAATTACAGTTTCAGCAAAAAAAAAAGTCACAGCGCGTGACGATAGTCGTACAAAAACATCAAGATCCTCTCGTTTTTTTTTTTTTTGCAACACCACACTGCTAACCTTGGTAAATCCCAAGCGTTTAACACAATATTTGTTTTTGCACTGTGGACACTCCAGCACACAATCAATGACGTAAACACACTGAACTATCAACTGTTTATGTCAAATCCGGATTTGACGTTCAAATTACGTGCGGCCCGCCCGAAAGGCCGTGAGCGACTGGCAGTAGCTGACATAGTTGAGACACCAGCTCCGGCAAGCGCCACAGCGCTTACGGAAAGCGAAACTCCTGCGCACAAAACCGTATGGGCTCCGTGTCCTCGATTGAGCAGCGCTGTACCGCTGTATTTACAGTTGACCGGCTTTCTAAGATATGGTCAACTTCATTCCACGTTGCATATTAAACACCAAGTGATAGGAGAAATGCTATATGTGTCTCTAAGAGAAGCAATCTTGCGGAACCAGATCCAATAGCTTTCATATTTCATATCGCTTGCCATATGCTCTTCCTGTGAATCCGAGAAGCCTTAGTGAGTCTATAAATGTCGGCCACATGTCGTCCGTGCAACGCTTCAACGTCATGCCCTAGGCAAATACATATAAAGAAACACCTGTGGAACAATAGCCTGTACCAAGGTGATTTATTCCATTACGAAGGTCAATAACACTACGATGATTACGACCGTAATTGCTTATCTTCAGAGCTGTTTGCTTTAAATAACTAATAAAAAGTTTTCTAGATGCTCATCGTACACGCTTTATCGCTCAACTGGATTCGCTATGACTATTGGAATTTTAATTGAACATTTTACATCACGTCCTTCGTTCTTAATAACACATTTGGATGAACTACAAGCAAGTACATAAAACAAACACCAGTCGATCTTGATTGGAAAATTATAGTACAGCTATTTTTTTTTTTTATTGCCTTTGTAGGCAGACGAGCATACGCCCCACCTGATGGTGAGTGGTTACCGTCGGCCGCGGACGTCAGCAATGCCGCTATGCAGGGCCAGAACTATGCCGCTGTCTACCGTTAAGTCCTCTCCACAAGACTCGTTTGAACAACATTAGCTAAATGTTTTTTGCAGGCAGACAAGTGACCAACATAAAGTGATATTTACATTGACAGGGCAAGCAATCGAATGTTACGAAGCGCTTATAGATCAGCGAGTGAACGTGCGTCGCGTCGGCGCAAGGTCGTCAAGACCGGTCCAAAGTGACCGAAAGCGGTGCTACTGTTTTAATGTAGGTACGCCCGAGAATCTCGACGACAAATTCTAAATCGCGTAGAAATCACAGAATGTATAATTAAAACTTGTCGTACTGATCTATACGGATTTTCGAAGCTTATGTATATTTAAACACAGAAAGGATCTTTTTTTTTATTTGCATAGGTCACGGCTCACCTGGTGTTAAGTGGTTACCGGAGCCCATAGACATCTACAACGTAAATGCCACCACCCCCCTTAAGACATAAGTTCTAAGGTCTCAGTATAGTTACAACGGCTGCCCCACCCTTCAAACCGAAACGCTTTACTGCTTCACGGCAGAAACAGGCAGGGTGGTGGTACCTAACCGTGCGGACTCACATAAGGTCCTACCACCAGTAATTACGCAAATTATAATTTTGCGGATTATTCTTATATTCTTATGATATTATTCTTACATTCTTATATAATTTTTAATTACAATTCTGCAATTATAAATGTAGTTTGAGGTTATTATTGATAATCGCAGTGCCAATCAACTTCTCCATTGAAGTTTGGGTATTTTTAACGAATAGTTTTATTTTATCAAAAGTGATAGAAACGATTGGCACCACAAACACCAGATTGAAAAAATGAAATAGCTGTCCCGCCATTGAGACTGGTACGCATGGCTGATTTACGGTAAAAATGAACAGTATGGTGGCAACTCACCTACATATGCGGGCACGCATTACGTCATATCACCAGTAATAATTATAATTTGTTCCATGTTAAATATCCGAATATAAATCGTTTAATGTACTTTATATCAATTTACCGAAAAAATCACTTCTAGTGATCTCCTGGTTCCTAGGAAATTACACATCTGTGATGAAAGTATACTTTTAAAGAATAATTTTAAATTTGAAAAAAATTGTAAGAATACTTTTAAAACACGACCGGTGTGCTATGAAGGAAACTTAATTTCAAATCCCTTTTTTTTCCCTACCTATGCTGATAGCCTTGAGAGGCTATGTCAGCGTAACCGTGCGTTTAGGTGAGCTCTTCGGGTTCAAACCGGAAGTGTTGCTAATACTGGCCCTAGCAAGAGCGGTGCTTCACCGAATCTACCACCGGATCGAAAAGGCGACCCACTAAGATATCCGGTAAGAAACTCAGTGGGCTTTAAAAACGCAAAAAATTGCTTCAGAAATACCAACATTCATTCAAATAGTCCTTATAATCATAAAAGGCTTAAACAGTCAAAGAAAGAGCCTCCCTCAATAGAATGTTTTGTTTAAGAGTTGATAATTTAAAAATGGGAGGCCGGTTTTAACACCTTGACAAAAAAGGTATCATGTGGTTTTTTTTTGGTAATGTGTAAATTACCGACTTCCGCTCACGCTTCAGGAGTGGCGACCTGGATATGTTAGGGGCGAACCAACCTAAGCGTGTAACTCGATCAGTAGGTATCTATTTTATTATTTTTAGTATCTTTTGCCTTAATAATTTATGGGTAGAGGAACTCACATCCCACCTGGAATTTTATCATCAAAGAAGTTTTAATCGAATTGGCTATGAATATGTTTATCGTAATATTGACTTAACGATGAGCATCCCTCTTCTCAAGCTGTATGGCTTAATTGGCTTGATAGTTTTACAATAACTAGAGGTCCCGCAGTAGTCGAAATTCGACTATAATTAATTGGAATTGTAAGTCTGTACACTATTATGATTGTATTTTATACTTCTATAATCACAAATTTCGCCAAGACTACACTATAAAAAATATTAACAAAGACAAACAATATTTCATTTATTCTCAATTTGACAACAGACGCCAAGAACAAAAGTTTGACAATAAATAGTTTGCATGCGTGTGTGCGTCAAAACCAAAATGTAGTGCGTGTAATGATTTCTTTATTGATTTAATGTATCTTTTATGCATTATTTAAAAAAATAATTAGCATTGTGCACTTCTTCTCTAAATTCTCTATAAGTGTGGAAAATTTCATACTCCTCCGTCCACGCAATTTTCGTAAAAAGGGATACAAAGTTTTTGCTTCACGTATTAATATATAGATATACTAATATTATACTACTAATAAACCTACCAATAATTTTATACTAACACCGAAGAGACTATTGATTGCAAGGTGAAATCAGACGTCTTTATCATGGTCGTATGAAAAACGAGCAATTAGAGAGGAACCCGTTTTAGAATTCAACATCAATAGAAGAGTTGACGTGATGAGGACTAGCCTGGAGCGATGCTAAGCAAGTCCAAGAAGACAAGGTGAAGCGGAGACAACTTGTGAGGGCTATGTGTATCAGCGATACCCTTGGACTACAACAACAACTACAATAATTGTAAATAGACATGCTTTAACAAAAACCGACTTCAAATAGAAAAAAAAAGATATTCCAAAACAAATTCATATACCTACACTAAAAACAATAATCATCGAAATCGGTTGGTGTGATATTGAGTTACTGAGTTATTCATCTATTTGTCGCGCACGTACTTAATGCAAATTTAAGACTTATATTCTCATGGATACCATTATCAGAACTGGACTAAATTGAAATGGGACCAAACGTCAGATTTCTAATAAAAAAAGAACCATCAAAATCGATTCACCCAGTCAAAAGTTATGAGGTAACAAACATAAAAAAAAACACAGTCGAACTGAGAACCTTCTCCTTTTTTGAAGTTGGTTAAAAGCATCAAAATTCGGTGCGAACAGAAATTGACATTAATTGTTACGAGAATTTAGTTCAAACTTGTGAGTTCTGAATCACCGAACTTGTCAATCTGTCGCACCGTTTATATTAAGATTGAAGCATACGAACGTACGTTAAGTTTCCGAGTAGTTAGTTCATGTTTGCAGAACACATCGATACGGGTTTCAACGACTACTCATCGGGGAATGCGAATCGGGCCACGTCTGGCTGCTGATGCTAGATGTATAATATATTTGTTTGGGATACAGGGATTACCGGTTTCCGGGTTTGTTAATAACAGCTCAAGCGAATCTGAACAGCTCTGACAGCTCAAAGACGTCTGCTTAACCGGAGTATGTTTCACGGGTGCGGAAGATCCGGAAAACTAAGCAAAATGATGCCATATTAGTGTCGTCTTCGATGAGTTCGACTTATTCAGTGATCGATGCTATAGCTGCTGCTACCGTTACAATGAATAGTATGCAAGTAGAACTTATATCTCAAGGTGGGTGGCGCATTTACGTTGTAGATATCCATGGGCTCTAGTAACCACTTAACACCAGGTGGGATGTGAGATCATCCACCCATCTAAGCAATAAAAAAAAAAGTTGATCAGGAAGATTCATCAGGAATACTACAATCCCTTAAATCATTCGTCACAGCTGCGTTGTCCCGCCCACTTTCTTTCCACCTACGTCCTTAATTAATGATGGGATGTATTGTCATCTCATACGTGTAGTAGGTACCATTGATCTTCATATTTCTTCAGTGAAGTAGTCACGTGTCCACTTTGTACGGTGAGACAGATTTTGTACATTACAACCAACAAAGTTTAGCTTAACGTCTCAAGGTGGGTGACAGTATTCAAGTAATGTCTTTGAGCTCCAGTAACCACTAAGCAGCAGGCTGGCCGGAAGCTCGTCAATTCATTTAGTGGAAAAAACACAACAATAAAATTTCATTGTGAGTTCAGAATAAAACAGGTCATTGTTGTAAAATGTGTTCACTCACAACTTCCAATCGCAAGCATGGAGTTTGTTTTCAATTTGAACAACGTTAACCCTCGCTGACCCTGTATATAGAGCTTTCAGTTTTACAACACAGTTACTTATTCACAACCGCGTGTACAGTCAGCAAATGGACAAAGTTTTCTTGGTCACGGACGACTAAGGTCTTATTCGTCGTCACTCGGATATTGTGCGAACTACCGTCAATTTTTCTATAAAAAAATCTAGACTTACTATTCTATTCGTTACTATACTATTCTATTCTATTCGAACAGAACTTAACATTG